TATGTCCTAGTTTAATTTTACTTAAATAAATCCATCTTTTAATCTCTTTGTTATTTCTCTAAATATTAAATTAAAAAATAAAGGTAATAATTCAAAAGAAATTTATTATAAGATGTTACATATTAACCGAAACACTAAAATATTTTAGGTATAGCTGAAATGCTTTATTGTTCATATAAACGGTGAAATACCTCCCCTATTTTATTTTTTATTTTTTTTATTTAATTTCATTTTTTTTATTTTTTTTAGATTTAATCTTTTTATGATCAAATTTTATGAGATAAAGTTTTAAATTATAGTAAAAAGATAAAATTAAAAGAGAGAGGACTCTAATGTAAAACACAGAGAGCCAGTTAATCTTAAAGTTTTTGTGAATTTCATTTTAGTTTAAAAGTTTATTTTGTTTGTTTTTTCACTCTCTAAGAAATGAGAGATAAAGTCATTGAAAAATAATGAAAAATAAAAAAGTTATTGGTTATTCGCATTTTAGTAATAAAAATAATTTAGGATTTTCCAAATGAATTTTATTTGACAAGAAAAGTTCTATAATAATAATTTTTTTTGCTTTAAACATTTTAGAAAAAATAATTTAGGACTCATGTAGTTTTTTTGAACTTGATTGGTTATCATTTTTTGAAGTGATTTTAAGAGTGTTTTGGAGTGGTTTGTGGAGGTTTAATGGTGTTTTGATGTGTGTGTATTAGATCAAAATGGATGAAAAAAGATTTTTAGGCCAAATCTCTTGATTTTGCAACTACATGATAGTAACTGTATTTTGGGTAGCAATTGAGAGGCGTGTCGCCTATCATTATATATAACTTATCACTTGGTTAAAATAACAAGAAAGAAAAAAAAGGAGAAGACAACACTCCTAAAAAAACCTAGAGTAGGTTGTCTTTTTTTTTATTCAAAAGATTAGGCATCTGGAGCTCGCTAATCATTGTTATTTATTTATTTATTAATTTTTTTTAAAAATTAATTAACACCTCTCTATTCTTTATGAATTTCTTACTTTGTATTAATTTTTTATTTAAATTTTGATCATTACCCTCCTCTCTAATATTTTCATTTTTTTCACCTTTTTTAAATATTACTTATTTCTTAATTATTTTGAATTTTTAGAATAAATTTTTCTAATTTTTATTTAATTTGTTTTATATTTGGTATAGATAAATTATATTTACATAATGTATTTATAAAAATAAAAATCAGTAGTATGATAAAAAAAAAATCATGGTCAAATATTTTCATAATTATGTCATTTGCATTTTATTTTAGCTTTTAAAAAATATCAACAACTATTTCTTAATTTATTTATAAATTATAAATTATTGATTTTTTGATTTAGATTTAAATTGATAACCTTTGTCTCTTTTTGATTTTTTAAACCTTTTTTTTGTTCATAAAGTATTAGTTAGTTTATATATCTCTCTATCCCTCTCTCCCTGGCCGAGCTCGCCCTTCAAAACTCTGCAGAGTTGAATTGAATTGAATTGAAGAGCGGGTAAATGAATCCCACCCTCATTTATAACCTAACCTAGCCTAGGGTTCTTCTTTTTCTTCCCCAAATTTCCGTTTATTAAATTGCTCTACCTGGTGTTAAAAGAAATTAGGGATTGGAGGAAGAGGTGGTTTAAACAGGCAAGCTTTTCACCATGTCGGTTACAGCGGGTGTTAGTGATACGGCTTTAGCTGTTAGAGATAAACTTAGAGGTAAAATTGGACAGACCAAGGTTAAAAGGTACTGGCCTGGCAAAGCCCCTGAGTGGGCTGATGATGCTGATGAAGATGGAGATATTAGGATGGCGAGGGCCGCTGCCTTGGATAAAGCTTTTCCTATTCGTGATGATTCCTATGATGTTGCTGCGTCGAAAGATGATCCCAGGCTGCGTCGTTTGGCTGAGAGCAGGATTGATAATCGTGATGAAGTGAGGGCGGATCATAGGAGGATTCGCCAGGCTGAGATTATTTCGACTGAAGAGGAGGAGATGCGGAGGCAAGAATGGGCTGATATGGAGGAAGAGGATGAGGATGCATTGGAGGAAAGGAGGAGAAGGATTAAGGAGAAGTTGCGCCATAGGGAGCAAGAGGAGGCTGTGCTTCTTCCCATAGAGGAGGAGGAGGAAGTGGAGGAAGAGGAAGAAGAGGAGTCTGAGTACGAGACTGATTCTGAAGAAGAAATGACAGGAATGGCTATGGTGAAGCCTGTTTTTGTGCCCAAGTCGGAAAGAGATACTATAGCTGAGCGTGAGCGGCTTGAGGCTGAAGAACAAGCTCTTGAGGAAAAGGTGAGGAGGAAATTGGAGCAGAGGAAGGTGGAGACGAAGCAAATATTGGTTGAGGAGATACAGAAAGAGGAGTTGATTCAGAAGAATCTGGAGATGGAGGCAAACATTGCTGATGTGGATACTGATGATGAAATTAATGAGGCGGAGGAGTACGAGGCTTGGAAGGTCAGAGAAATTGCTAGGATTAAAAGGGATAGAGAGGCCCGTGAGGCAATGTTGAAGGAGAGAGAAGAGATTGAGAGGGTGAGGAATATGACCGAGGAAGAGAGGAGAGAGTGGGAGAGGAAGAATCCAAAACCTGCTCCACCATCGAAGCAGAAGTGGAGATTTATGCAGAAATATTACCACAAGGGTGCTTTCTTCCAGGATCAGCCTGATGACCGAGCAGCAACTGCCGGAACAGATGACATTTTCAGACGTGATTTCTCATCTCCGACTGGAGAAGATAAGATGGATAAATCCATATTGCCCAAGGTTATGCAAGTCAAACACTTTGGTCGCAGTGGACGAACGAAATGGACCCATCTTGTCAATGAGGATACGACTGATTGGAACAATCCGTAAGTCCATTCAAACCATTATTTTTATTTTTATAGTATTGATTTTCTATCATATCTGCTGTTCTATGAGCATAGCAATTATTTCTCTGATGTTGATCATTTGCACTTGAGTTCAAAAAGGTCCCATGCATTCCCCTGTAAGTTTTGTGTATGAATGGGGATTAGTTTAATCCATACTTGCACTTATTGAAATCCAGCCAAAGCATTTTCCACTAGCTTAAGGGCATGCATATGATAAATAACAAAAAACAGAATTGGTTCTATGCATGTTCCTGATGCCAGTCTTTGTAATATATTATACATGCTATCAAATTCTAATTTCTTAGTCTCAAACTCGCAAGTGCTTTGCAGTACATTCTTGCTGATGGAAAAATTATACTCCAAATCCGAAGAAGATGCTTTATTCTATTAGTGGAAGATGATCACAATCTAATTCAAAAATGTCGCCAAGTTTAATTGAATCATTTGGACTATCACGGTCTCATGTAGTATGACAATCCATTCTCCTCCTTTTTCTCCCAAGAGGCATCGACTCAAAGCAGAGGCCTGAGGCCTTGGGAGTTGGTCTGTTGGAGTCCCCTAGTTCAAATGCCCGCCCCTCACTTCGAAATTTAAGAAAAAAAGAAGCGTCCTCTTTTCCATGTGTTTTCATGCATGTCTTCGGTGAAATAATTTTTATTATGAGGGAAACTAGAATCAGAATCTTTTGATGCCAAGGGTAGTTACTATCTCATTCTTCAGTTTTATGACCTTCGTCTTTCAAATTATAAAAAAAATAGGGGATGTGAAAATGAAAATCATCTCCTATTTCCCTGGGAGATGTTTCAAGTTTGCATTGATGGGCCATTTTGAATTAAATTACTTGGACAACTGTGACGGCATGCCCAAGACATCTTCTTTATCAAATTGGCCACCTAATGGATCCTACAATAATCGTTGTTTCATTGGGAATACCAGTCTATTTTTTGGACGCTTTACTGTTTTTTTTTTTTTTTCCATCAAGAACTTGTTGAGCTAACAAAATAAACAATTCGGATATGTAAGTTGTCATATTTTGTCTCTGAAACAAATGTTTACTGTGTGTTTGTTTTGCAGGTGGACATTCAATGATCCTCTGCGGGCAAAGTACAATGCAAAAATGGCTGGAATGAATGCTGCTATAGATAAACCCAAAGGAAGCAAAAAGTTGAAGGATTGGGAATCCCGGTAGCCAAAATTTTGAAGTGTCATTAAGCTCAGCGATGAAACTGTTTATTGGACCTTCTTTAACTAGAAGTTTGCAGGACTCCATTTGTCTGCCCTCATAGAGCTGTATGGTGTAGGTTCTCGTTAATCATGGTGCAGGCAGATATCTGTGTAATTTTCATCATTGGGGAATTTCATACACTGATGATCTATTATCATTTTCACCATTGGCTTTTTGAGTCGCCATTAAAGTTGATTCCTCAAATGGTTTGTGTTTCCTATCCTCCACGTCCAACTTTGTTGTGAAAGCAGCTTTTGTTTGAAACAAATCTCAGTTTTCCCCTATCAATACCTGCTTCATCTAAGGTTTTATCTGTCACTTGATAGGAAAATTGCAAGTCCTGTTGCTGTCTTATAATCTCTCTAATCCTATCTCCTTGGATATATAGGCTTCTTAAATAGGGTCCAGAAATGCAGTATGTGTCCCCATTTTGATACAAATTATAAGACATGTTCCTGTTATAGACAGGTTGGTAGTTTAGAAACCCCCCTCCTGGCATTGTTTGATGCATTACCCAGCAAATTACAGCGAAAACATAAAAAAATCTCTGATTGTGTCGAAGAAGTGTTTCTTTTCCGGATTCCTTACTTCCTACCTGTGTCTTTGCATGTTCGAACTTTTAGATGTATGGTTTCATAATCCTTAAGACAAAACAGGCGATCTGAATAGAAGATAAAAATTGTTGCTTGAAATCATGATTCATACCCACCACTTCTCAAACACGCAAACGATGGAACATACTATTCGTAACAAAGGTCTCCTGAGTTTATACAAAAAGCTGTCTTAAAGTTCAGAACGGGGAGGACAGGTACATAGTGACTTCTTTATACAATATCCATGATGATGTGCCTTCAACCTGTCAAATTAACATAAGCCAATTACTTAGAAAACATGCTGATAAAAAAAAAAACAGAAAACATGTCGATTAAGATTAATGATTTGATAGGATAATCTTTGTTGTCACCAAAAAATAAAAATAAAAATCAAACTCCTCAATATAGTAAGAGAGGCCAATGAAGATAGTGCTGCACCACAACCTAGCAACTTCCATGCACGAAATCGATGCTTATATCCAGGCTTCCATCTTTTCACCACTATCCACCCACCTTACCATCATCTCGCCATTACTAATACCACCCGTGCCTTGGTTTATAGACTTCTTTGAACTTTTATTAGCAGAACTTTTGTCTCTGGCAAAAATCATTATCGTTGTCTCATGCAGTGAGTGATGATGGTGGGATTAATTTCTGGATCACTTAACTTATAAATGAAATTACTTGGAGAGCAGTTGCTACAAAAAGGAAACGCACACTTCCGCACAAATTTTAATTCAAGCTTGCCAGCGGCAATTGATGTATTTCAGAGTTCTGACTCCATGCCAAGGCATGTTGTCCCTACATCCTTCTTCAGACTCCATTACCCCTATTTGCAGCATATCATTGACAAAACATCTTGCTGAATAAATCGGTCAGACTTTAATATCCTTGGTTTCATTCCTCTGCTTTAGATAGAAATCTCCTTCATAAGCCATTTTCTTTAAGATCTCTGAATGTCCATAATGACACCTTTAAATCCTAAATCTTCCTTGACAATGTTTTTAATTGAATTCTAAGCAGTCCCACTGCAAACATCTCATCCTACAAGCAAGAGGCAGAACTTTTCTTATGGCTTGAGTGGAGATTAGCAACTTGCCACTACAATTTCTTGTCTTCTATCTACATTTCATAGCACACGCTCCTTGCATCCAAGTTTAAAAGTAAGTTATAACATTCAGATACCCTGTTGTGCATTATGGGCAACCTTACCTTTATTGTTCATGCTAAATTATTAACCATAGGTTGGTATTCCCATCCTCTTTCCAAGAACATTACCTGCCTGCTCAACAACTGATATCTAAAGGAGATATGTATCTTGACAAGATGAAATAGGCTATATCGATGCAGATGAATATCTAGCTTGCGTGAAAGAAATGGTAGAACTACTATCTTGGTGTGAATTATCAATTAAAATGCCACTTAATCCAGGTGAAGTATTGAGAATTGACATGAATTCGCTCATGCCTGGTTTAGCCTAATGGTGCACTTTCTAGCATGCAAAATACAGGCGGGGCTAGATGGCTGTAGTTGGATTTACACGTCTACATTTGGATCCATAACACCATAAAATCTGACAATTCTAACGAATTCTGAAAGGGAATAGGAAACAATAAAATTTCATTTCCCAACATGAAATCTAACTGGGCTGCTTTGCCAAAAGCAGAATAAAGCAGTGCAATTTTCTATATGAGCAGGGGTTATTACTACGTCAACAATTGTTGTCATACGGAGCATCATTCATCTCTAAATGTATGCTGGATATAATGCTTAAACTGTCAAAGGCATGGAATTTGTGTGAAAATTAAAATTTGTGCAAGATAAAAATTACTGAAAACAGCAAGCTGATAACTAAATACCTGCCAAAAAGTGTTGTGCTCAAACAGAAACGAGGGACTGGAAGTATGGATGGGCTTGACATCCTTCATAATGCCATGGTACTCTAGCAATATCCGAACGCCCAGGTCTTGGTTCTAAATCACAGATCTTGATTGATGTCCCATCACAAAGATTATAGGACATAGCTCTACCGTCCACAAATATCACAACCTTCTTCTCCTCATCCTTTTCTCCCTGAATAATACTCAATACTGAAAACACAGCATGCTTGTTCATGAAGTTCCATGTTAGTTCAGGAAACATCATTCTCATAGATTGCAGATTTACATGGTAACTTAAAGACCATCCTGTATATTCGAATTCCATCTCGAAAACATCAAATTCTAAAGAGGAACGGTTCTTGGTCAGTACCAAATGCATATGACCTCGGGACTCCCCAAAGTACATAACATCCCAATCCATACCTTCCCATGAAAACATAAAAGGCATCGGCATTTTCTTAACGGACTGACTATCAATGTGAAAATACAGTGAGGTCTCTGCATAACTGTACCAATGAACAGAACCATCCAAAAATACTCCATTAGAATAAGTCATTCCCAATGGCATTTCGAAAAGGATCGGAAGTAGACTCCATGATTCAGTCTCTGATGAATAAACATCAATTTGAAAATTTTGATTGAATGAATTCCCTTTGCAAATACAAACAACCTTGTAGTAAGGTGATATCAAAGGATCAAACGCCAAGCTCAGCGACAAATATGCAGGTTTTGGAGGAGAGAGTACCTTGAATTCCTTAGTAGTGGGATTACAAACAACATATCTGAACTCATAACGACCATCATTTTTCATTTGTGTCGTCTTTACAAATTTGGGTTTATCCAACATCAATTTACAACAGCAAAGGAGCAAGCCATTGCAAGAATGTCTTATTGTGACCTCAGAAACATTAAAATAATCGAAGAATGGGACTTTAGTGGAGTGTTTGAGAGGGACAAGATGGAATTCAGGAGTGGATTTATAGCCATTGCTGAGCATGAGAGCATCGGCTGTACGGTTTAGCATCCGTTGACAGCGGGCGTGGCTAATGCAGAATTTGGGGTCAGAAATCAAAGAGTGCCATCGTTTTGATACGCACTTGAATTTCAGGAGAGATTTTGCAGGTGCCCACAGAAGGACTTCAGTTAAGAGGTCCAGGTTGCTGGCTATTATTTCTGCTGACCAACAAATTTCCAATTTCCCTTTGGGGTTCCTCATTTCTGCTGTTTTCCTTTTAACTCTTCAACGCACAAACAAACTCACTCCATAATTTATTGTAATTATAGAGATCAAAACTTCACTTGGAACACATCAAATTCTAAATCAAGACTCCAACAAGCATAGCCACCCACCAGAAATGAGGAAAATATTACCTGTTTTTGGCCTCAACATGAACATCTTACAAGACCTGTTGAATTAAAACTGCGGATCTCACAAGTGACAATCCCTTCCAGCAAGGCACGCACATCCCCTTCTATTTTTCTACATATGAGAGTTACTTTCGAGAGTCAACTGTCAGGTCATTGAAAATTATGAAATATCAGGTAGCCTGGTAGAAAGAACAGCAAAACAGTAGTGCGGGATAAGGCTTAAGAAGAAAATGGAAAAGAAAAAACATAAGGAGTTAATGGCCAGCTGTAGGGCATGACGAATAAGAGAGAGCAGATGCCGGAGCTTAACTAAGATAGGACCTGAAGGAATCCATTTGGTAGTAGGTTTTCCACGAAGTTGTTCTTCTTTTTAGCACTACTCTAGTTAATTGCCTGCGTGTTCTTACATGGCAACATAGTTTTGAAACCGGCCGGCCTGGTAGGTAGGTACAAGACTTAAACTGAATTAGATATAAAAAATTAAAAAATAAATTTATACTGATTTAGTAGATTAATTCAATAAAATTTGTTTCAAAATCTAAGTTGTAATTTATTAATTTTTTATTTTTTATTAAAATAACATCATTTTAATTTAAAAAAATTAACTCAAATGATCTAATAATCCAATAAAACTTTAAAACTTGAGTAGTAGATTGAATCAACTACTCAAATTTAAAAATTATATATATAATTTTTTATTTAAATTTATTGGGTAAAATAATAACTCAATTTTTTCATTCAACAAGGTTAAGTTTTAAAATAAACTTTATGAAAGATTTGAAAATTAAACTCTGTTTGTCTTTATAACTCATTGTCCTCTTGAACAGTTGTTATCTAGACGTTTGTTTGGAGCAATAGTACATGCAAATATTCCTTCCCTTTGGGGCAAAAACAAGGGTAATATGATGAATGACACCAAAGCATTGTTATAGGAAACTCCACTTCAATTGAAAATAACGTTAAATATGATAGAATAGAAGAGGTCAATGCATATATATATATATATAATGCAGCATTAAAACCTAAGAAAAAAACAATTCCTAATGCTCTCTCTCTCTCTCATGTGATATTATTCATGATCTTAACGGTTTTAATAATTTTGTTTTTTAGAATTTGCTTTTTGAAATTCATTTTTTTATGTAATAAAATAATTTTAAAAAAACAACCACTTTCCATTTTCTTCGCTGTTTCAATGTTTCCTTATTTTTTAAACTTATTTTTTAAATTTAAAATTTAAAATGTAAATAAAATAAAGTTTTAAATAAAAATATAAAAGATAAACATAAAAAAAATATAAAGGTAATTTTTTTTAAGAAAAGCGCCTTATGAACAGTGTAATATAAAGTCTTCATTTTTGCTTCATTGTCAATTTTAGTTCTCATATTTTTAAATTTTCACAAATGATAAAAATAATTTTTTTTTATAAAATTAAGTATTAATCAAACATCGAGATAATTTTTTACACTGCAATAATATAATATAAAATAAAATGAAACAAATTATAAAACTTAATATCCAATTAACACAATATAAAATGATAAAATTAAAAAAAATTGATGACAAGAAAAAAAAACTTTAAAGGAAAAAAAACTATCGAAATGTGAAACAATATTTTCCATGACTCTTTGAGGTTTCTTTTAATTTAAATTATTTAATATTCATAAGTATTCATAATTGAGGAAACTCTATATATTACCAACAAGAAGTAAATTTGATTTTAGTCATAAATTAAAATGGATAAATTTGCTTATTTAAAATGAAAAATTTTCAATAAAATTTAAATTAGAATATAAATATTGATAAACTAAGTTTTTTGATGGTTAAATTTATCATTGCAGGTTGAATTATGTTGATATTTCAGGAAACAATACATAAAAAAAAAATAAGAAAGGGAAAAAGAAGGGTTGATCATCAGGTTATAAATTAAATATTATTGATGGTATGATCAATAAAATTCTTTTATTAATAACTCCGTTGATCATTCTATTAGTAAAAATATCACGTGATCATATAATTTGTTTTTTTTTAAATCCCACTATAATACTCTCTGTAATTTCTTTTATATATACCAATTTTTTTTTCTGTTGGCATATTTACTGATGTATTTTATTGTCAGGTTAATTTTATCAATAATATTGTATATTAAAGTTACACATCATTGTATTGTTTGATTTTTTTTTTAATTTTTCCACTATAATTTTCTTGGTATATATTGAGAGAATTTTTCTATTAATGTTTATCAATAAATACAAAAATAGAAAATTTTATCAATAAAAATCATTATAATACACCGATGAATAAATTTTATTGATGTTTTCGTTTATATTTGCTAATATTGTGCTAGTTCTAGCTAATTCTAAACAAACAGTGGTTTTTGTTTGCATAGTTTCATTTGTTAAGCCTTTAGCAGTCTCCTGATGCTGTCTCAGGTTTCTTGTTAAGATCTTGGATACAGAGAAGTGGAAATTCAAGTTATAAATTGATGATCAAAACTCTGAACCTGGTTTTGCAATCCAAGTTAAGGTCCCCCGGCTGTTGACCTTACAAACAATAGTATTCATGATTTGTAGCCCCTTTGCAACAATTTCCATGTAAATGGTCAACGTTACGTGAGCAGAAAAACACACTCCCAGATTTATTGACGAAATAAATATGAAATGCAATTCAAGATCATAGCACTGTCTGCAGGAAACTGGTTTTACAACTAGAGATCAAATAAACAGAGAAAGTTACAAAGACATTCTTTATTTTGTATCTACTTAATACTCCAATTGATCAGAAAGTTGAGGTCTCTTGGTTCTAGCTAAATCAAACATCTTGTTTTAATTTCCTATCATTTGTTAACCTTCAGCGGTCTCTTCTTGTTTTTCAGCCCAACTTAGGCTCAAGAATGCACCAAGCCTTCGCTCATGAATTGCCCTTCTTATATTCAATGTCGTCCCTCAAATGTAAAACTCAGAGCGGTTAGAGTCTGCTGTTGTTCTACATGCAAATGGGACCAAGATTTGCCGTAGAACATAGCATCATTAACTCTGACCTCCCCAAAACACAGAAGCATACAGGAGGTGTAGGCGCTCTCACCAGCAAAACACAGAAGCATATAGGAGGTGTTGGCGCTCTCACCAGCAGCGTCAAAACAGAGTGAGGTGTAATTTGAAGGGGAATAGTTTAATTAGTTAGGTTTTGAATTTATTATTCAAAGATTATTGATTCAAGTATTATAAATTTTAAAATTACTTGAAGTTGTCTTACCGTTAATTTCAGGATCTTGAGAAATTAATCAACATATATATATATATATATATATATATGAACTGATATAAATACCTATAAAAAAAAAAAAAGAAGAGGTCCCATCACTGCTTCACCATTAGAAGAAAAAAGGTCCGTCCATGTAATCTATTTTAACCAGAAATATTCCCACAAGAAAGGCATTAATGAAATTGTAGACCTAACAGGCTACGTACTGACAGAGTATTGTCATCCAGCTTTCAATTAATTAAAATACCAAGACAGCTCAATAATCTATATGCCGAAGAAATACCGACTTTTTCTTTCAATATAATTTGTTGAATAACTTGGAAATCAGGAAACTGTAAAAAAAAAAAAAAAAAATCCTTTCTTCAGTTGGATTAGAAATACAAACCTACACCATTACATGGTAAAGTCTTCCTGTTATGAAAAGGATTTAAAAAACTAGTAAATTAAGTCCATATAGTTCAAGGATTTGCATGTACATTGCCCTATTATATACAAAAAACTATTTAATAAAGTCCGGATAATACATGGATTCGCATGCACATTGCCCTATATATATATGCAGTGCGCAGCCAGCCAGTTAAAATACCCCAATATATTCAGTTCCTTAATTTGCTTGTCTTTTGAGTTGTCTCTGGGTGATTTGTTTCTTCGAGTTAGAGATTTAGCGTAGAAGAGAAGAGAAATATATCCCCGAAGATATGGCACGGCTGCGCGGTTGCGGTCAAAGTGATCATCATATATTCGTTGCTGATATGAATATTGATGAATATGACGATGGGTCTTTTGATCAACTGTTTGAAACGTATAGAGAAGAAACAGATGACAATGGTGAGGCATTTACGTTGATGGAAAAGGAAATTGTCAAGGGTTTGTTGTGGATGCGGAACAATGGTGCCAAGAGAGATCAGTCTTCCAAGTCCAGAAGTACAAGCCCCTCCAGTGATGGTAGTAGCTATGCTCAATTTACACACCCACTTGTGATATTGCCTGTTATACCCAAGAAGAAGAGAAGTGGAGATCAAGGGTTTATATATCCTAAGAATAGCCCAAGTAGTTATGATACCAGTCAAGACGATGATGGCGATCATCATCATGTTCTTGAGGAGGAGGAGGAGGGTACTGTCTCTGGCAGGAAAGAGAGATCAGGATCTGGAATTCTTAATGGGGTTGTCAACAAAAACAAGTACTCTGAGACTAGTGTTGCTCATGAAGATAAGAAAGAGGGGAGACAGAAAGAGAAAAGGATCAATGGTACTAATAGAAAACGATGCTTTGCACTTGAAGATCATATTGACGAGGAGGAGGGAATGAGGTCGACAAGCAAACGAAGGAAGGGTGTTTCAAGGGCACTGGACTTGGGTTTTGATTTCTCTGATGAAATAAAAGCTCTAATCGGAGAAGATGGAGATAAGGATTTCAAGTTAAGGATAAGGAAAAAGTTGTACCAAACCGATACGAATGCACACCATGATCGTTTCACAATGCCTTGTAGACAAATTAATGAATGCGAAAGTCTTTTAATTGGTGATGAGAAGACGAATATCTGTCAAGGCGATGGCATAGGAGTAACATTGGTAGAACTGGGTCTTGGTAATGAAAAAGATAGCACGTTCACCAGTCAACTGAGGCTGAAGCAGTGGAACATGAAGAACAGCAGTTCCTATGCGTTAAGAAGTAGCTGGAATAACGTTATGGTTAGGAATGTGGGAGCGCTCCATCAAGATGACTATGTGCAGATTTATTCCTTTAGACGCAACGAGGAACTATGGTTCGTCCTCATCAAGGAGTCTGATCATGAAGAAGGCCGCACAGATGGTGTCTTTGGAAGGACTAGTACTCAAGGGGAATGATGGAAAAGGTCCTGCTACAGCTTTGCTAGCCACCAGCACGCATGATAATAGGATCAGTCAAGAGAAGGAGAATGGAGACGGTGCTAGCTAGTACAAGCCATGCATAGATAGATATATAGAGAAGAGCAACCTTAAGCTTTAATTACAGTCATTCATGTCTTATTTGAGTAATGGATGATGAATTTGCTTTTAATAAATATAGTTTTGTCAGAACAATTTATCAATTAGTTCTTTATTTATATATATATTTCTAGTAATTTCATATAGAATCAAATTCATTTATTTAGCCAAAAAAGTCCCATGGATTATGAGCTCATGGTCCTGATTATGCATGGAGCCCATGTATTAGCTCGATGGCCCATATTGGCCTAGTATTAAAAACACGAGCTGAAAGTCTTCTCTCCCTCTGATTCATATCATGGCAGAACAAGAAGAAGATTCAAAAGTCAATTCTCCTCCTTCTCCTCCTCCTCCTCCTCCTGTACTCTCTTTCTCTATCTTTCTCATACAGTCTTGTTGTGTTTGTTAAATTGCCAAGTTACCCATTGGCTTTACTCAGTGTTATGGTTTTTTTTTTTTTTTTTTTCCGGCTTGTTATTTTTTAAGAAATAGTGTTGAGCTAATTCACTTTGTAAGCAAAAACACCATTCTCAATGAAATTGAAAGAAAATCATTAATCTCAATTTTAAATTTGATTTTTTATTGCATTTGATTTAATAAAACCTATATGGGATTCGTTGAATTATGAACCCTTTTTTTTTTTTTTTTTTTTTTTTTTTTTTTTTTGTCAATGCATGGATAAGATTTGGAGCCCATTTACATTTATTAGGAGATGAACTATGGGTTCATTCATTTTATTTATTATTAATAGTGTTTCTTCTGCTTCTTCGTCTCCATAAAACTCATTAATTAATATTTGACAATTTGCTGTCACCAATAGTTTTTGGAGGTCATATGCAAAAGTTTGGGAAAGACGAGTCGCTTTGCAGCAGGCACCAAGGCGGGATTTGCAGTGTCTTTGATAAACAGGAAGTTGGATGTTGGGGCACCTTTCGTTTTGCATATTGAAGCCGTTAAGGATGGGGAGGAACCCATTAGCTTTGGCCCAGATGCGGTGCTTGTTGATTATGGCAATGGCTGGAAGTTGCAAACATTTTCTGTGTTAGATTATGGTGGTTTTAGCTTCTTTTAGTGTAGATTATCTTGTTGTCTTCTCTTGTGGTTGCTGTGTAGAGTTTGCTTAAGTGTTGGTTTTGCTAACATGATTTCTTTTCTGAAGCAGGTGTTAGACAAGCAGAACACTTTCAGCGGATTCCAAAACAGGTATGTATTTCTATATTGTCTTTCATCAAAGTTTTAGTTTTTTATTGCATCCATTAAGTAGAAGTTGATGTACATACATCTATTGTTTGATAAAAGAAACTTGGATGTATTTACAATATCGCTATATAGGGTACTGGGATAGTCTTCTTTCAACTCATAATCCATTGCAAAACTTATAAAACTACATCTCAATAAGTTCTATTGAGTTTTTTTGTTTGAGTCAATATTTATTTCGATACCATGGAGTTGATGAACTTGATTTTCTGAATTCCTAAATCTGTTGCTAAGGAATGAGATATGGAAGATAGTAGTAGAAACTAGGCTGTATTTTTGGGTAAAACCAAGTATAGGAACCTGACTTCGGCTTTTCTTTCAAATATGTTTACCAGAAGAGGTCAAGATGAATGATTGCATTTCAGATTTCAATGAATTTATATTATATAAGATTATTTTAATTAAAAATAGGATTGTGGCCTGGCAATGTGTTCCCAGCACTGAACTACTACCTGTCTCAAGATTCTAGACTAATTTGATGCCTGTCTGTCAGAAGAAATTTGAATGGAATCAAATTGGAAATAGGACAGCCTTTGCTTTTTCCTTCTTTTAATCTATGCATAGCTTGGTGTTGGTAGACAGCCAAGTGCTGGGTGCATTCATTTGAATGCTGTAATATTGGCTTGGTTAAAAAATGTGACAAAAGACAATAGTCCTTGTACCTTGGTGAGATCTTTTTATTTTCGAAGAACTCTGATTTAATCTGTAGTCATAGTTGCTGCCTTACTATATAAATCCATACCGATATATAGAGAGACTGGTAGGTTTCAACCCACAAGTTCACTCTGTTCTGTATACCATATGGCACCATTTTGTTCTGTCTTGACCCATACCAGCCTACTTCAGTCATAATGGATGACCTTATATCAGATTGATTAAGAAAAGAAACAGGCAAGATTCCTGTGCAACATTGTGAGAAATCTTGTAATGTGGTGCTAAAAGCACAAATTATTGGTTGTGAGGAATACATATTGTGACCGATTATTAGGGTGACATCCCATTGCCTGTTATTTGCCAATCTTGTACGATTGTATGCTAGTTGTGTACCAGTATATTTGTGATAATTATTTGGCTTTGTTGGTAAATACATATTCTTGGGCCTATATTAGCATATGTATCATGCCATAAATCTATATAAAATGAACTGGTAGCAGGACATCCATTCCAATATTGTATTCACAAACTTGCCTTAATTTGAAAGTTATTCATTAGAAGAATACTAAACTCTGATCTTGATGAATATGAAGTTAAAGGCCTAATCTGATAATGATCTATTTATGAACCGAGTATAATGCTGCTTAGTGCCATAATTTTCCTATGTGAGAGAAACTTTGGCTAATGAATTATTCTCCTCGTGTAAATGTTTACTGGGATTTGAAAATCCTGTGCTTAGCTAAATGATCTAGTAACTTCTTTTACTTTCAGCAGAGTTCTGATGGTTCACGTCCTGCAACGACAGCTACCAACCCAGGCATCAGTTTTTTGTACATGGCAAAGATACTAGTAGCCTTCGTTTTGCTTTTTGTGCTTGGTGCAAGTTTCACATTAGCTCTTGAGAATCTTCCTAGACTCATATTGTTCATTAACTCGTTCATGTAAATACTTGCTGGCGTTGTTCTAGTGATGGATGGAGTGAATGATGCTGAGTTTGTATTTCTTTCTGAATAATTTGAATGGAGGCCCTTGAGAGTTATAACGCCAGAAGAGAAGAGCAACAGCAGAAGGCCTCGTCACAGGATGATCAGAATCTTTCAGAGGACCAGTGAATAAAACCTTGCACTGACAATGGGGTTGGAAAGATTAATTCTGATTCCTAGTTTATATATTACAGCCCAAGATTTGTTCTCTTCTTGGTTGAACCAATGATTTGCTGTTTGATTCGTTACCTTGTCAAAATCCTGAATGTCTGTGGCTTGAGTTGATAAAAACCATAAACCTGAGTTGCAAATACAAGATGAATTGTGCCTTTTTGTAACAATTTTAAGATGGAGGGAAAATCACATTGAAACAAATCAACCATAGATGGAGGGGTCTCTTGTAGACAATCCAATAGAGGAAGCCGTCACTGACCATTTACATAAACACTGACGTAATGTGTGATTTCTCGAGCAGTGTTAAATTCACTGGATATTATATTTGTATGGACTTTCTCTTTCTAGAATGCTCAAGCTGAATAGATTAATAATAATAATAACAATATGATATGAGAGCCGTCATGGCCAAGTGACTAAGTGGTTACGTGTGATATAAGCAAAGCAATGAAAGGATTTTAATCTGCGTACATGAAAATCTTCTGATAAAGCTGGAGACATGAACTGGTCAGAGCAGCCACCATCTTTTATCTGCAATGCAATTACATCACCATAGAGATCAGCACGTTAATGTTCCCCTGTTTCTGTTCATCTGAGTTTTTTGAAACAGGGGACCAATCAACTGCCTGACTTGGACGGCAAGTTGAAGACCCTGTATATAAATAACCATAGAAGCTCAAGCGAGAAGGAGTATACAGAAAGTGATAGCTTTTTTTTATATATATATATATATAAATGGAAAATTCAAGGTCTGGTTTTTATTTCTTGGTTCTTTGTTGTGCTAGCCTTCTCTTCCCAACATGCTGCAGCAGTAAGCATATTCCCTTGTTTATATTTGGAGACTCATTTTTTGAAGCTGGAAATAATAACTACATCAGAAATGCAACTGGCCGGGCAAACTTCTGGCCTTATGGTGAAACCTTCTTCAAGTATCCCACTGGGAGATTTTCGGACGGTCGAGTAATTCCAGATTTTATTGGTAAGCTAAGAGGCTGATTTTTATTTTTTTGGTAATTTTTCTGCTGCTTCACTTCGTTCCGAAATAATTAATGGATGCTTGTTACTGTTTGAAAGCTGAGTATGCAAAGTTGCCATTCATTCCTCCGTATCTGCAACCTGGCAATCACCAGATTACAGATGGGGTGAACTTTGCATCAGGAGGAGCTGGTGCTCTAGCTCAAACCAGACCTGCTGGATCGGTATGCACTGTTACTCACCCTAAGCTTCGTCCTGATAAATTTTTTATGCTAAACTCCATAGGTTTTTCCCTTTCTGTCACAGGTTATAGACCTTAAGACGCAAGCAATTTATTTCAAGAACGTGGAGAGGCAGATAAGTCAGAAACTGGGGGATACAGAAACTAAGAAATTGCTGTCTAAGGCTATCTACATGTTCAACATCGGTAGCAATGACTACGTAGCACCTTTCACAACAAACTCCAGTTTGCTCCAGGCCTACTCCAGAAAGGAGTACGTCGGAATGGTTATCGGCAATACAACAACTGTGATCAAAGTAATCAATATATAACATCAAGGACATTCTATTCCTTTTCTGGTATCTTCCTTTTCCTAATTAGTTGATCATAGCTTATGGCTACATTTTGATGTTTCAGGAAATATACAGGAATGGAGGAAGGAAATTCGTGTTTGTCAGCACGGGTCCTTTGGGTTGTTTACCATATCTGAGAGCATCAAACAAGAATGGCACACGTGGTTGCATGGATGAAGTCACGTTGTTTTCAAAACTACACAATAGCGCACTCATTGAAGCCCTCAAGGAGCTCCAAACACAGCTTCGAGGGTTTAAATACTCTTATTTTGATTTCTACACTTCATTAAGTGAAAGAATTAAGCACCATTCAAAATATGGTGTGTTTTCTTGCCCTATCAACTAGTTACACAGCTCTCTGTAAGAACTAACTGCACACATTTGATTTACTTTCTTGTGTGTTTGCTTTGTAAGGTTTTGAGAAGGGGAAGGTGGCGTGTTGTGGCAGTGGTCCATACAGAGGAATCTTGAGTTGCGGCGGAAGGGGAGCTGAAGAGTACCAATTATGTGACAATCCTAGCGACTATTTGTTCTTTGATGGTGGTCATCTCACCGAGAAAGCCAACAATCAACTCGCAAAGTTGATGTGGAGTGGGAATTCTACTGTCATATGGCCTTACAATCTTAAAACATTATTCCAGGAGTAGTCCAAAAATAGGTCATGCAACCATATGTGTGGTAGTTTTCCTAGGATTCAATAAACATATATTCGATATCTTGTTGTCCTATCATGTATCACAACCTTCATGGTAATGACAGAAACGGTAGCTAATGGTAAAATGGTCTTTTTCAATGGATCCATTTGTTATTCGTTAATTGTTTAGGTTTTTTTTTTTCTGTTTTTTTTTCACCCAATTCCTACACATTTCAATGGAGAAAAGTTATTTAATAGAAGATCAGTCAAAATCATGGTTTTTGGGTATTTTTTATTGAACAATTAATCAACGAGGATATTATTTTTAAAGAAAAAAAATCATAACACAAATATAAATTTAATAAAATTCATAATTATCTCAATGTTTTTTTTTCCAATTATTATTGTCAAAATATTCAAGAGCTAAGACCATTTTAATGCTCATTTTCACCATGCATAAACTAAACCAACAATTAGGCATAAACATAAAAAAAAAAAAAAATAGATGGTGAGTACTTGATCAAATTGATCGGGTCATGTAGGAACAAAGTTCAAGTCTACTAATCTATTAAGATGCCTTAAATGCACACATCACTGCATTTTTACTTTGTATTCTATCTTATCATATTATATTCTATTCTACAATATTTGAGAATCGTTATCAATAACAAAAAAGAAAGAAAACTCACAGCTCTTTGTCTTTCTATACGACATCAAACAAGTATAATGAACCATATTTCAAAATATGAATAAGGAACTTTGTTGCATCTGACTTTTTTCCTTTCCTTGTAAAAAAAAAACACACCAAAACATTGTGGGTTTTAGTGCGTTAGTCACTCCACTACCTTTGAGCTGCGTGTATGACTAACTCTGGTGGTCAAAATCATTGTTCCGTCACACTATTAAATTTGTAATGAAATCCTTTTTCTCTCTAGATTGTGTGTTTGGTCCATAGATCTACAATTATGTGTCGGCAATCTTTTTTCCCTCTTCTTTTCTTTGTCCTCCTATAAATTCATGTTTGACCTTCCAAATTTGCAAATCAACCCTTTAAGGGTTTTTTTCTTTAGATTTGCTCTCTCTTTTATTTATTTATTTATTTTATTTTAATCAATTTTTAAAATTAGATTTTTTCTTAATTTCATCCTCCTTTGATTTTTTTTTATTTTGTCAAATTTTGTCCTTATTTTTTATTTTTTATTTTTTTTAATTGTAGTAATTTTTTTATTTGATTTGTTTTTTCAATTTCACCCTTTATTTTTTTTCTTTAGATTTGATGCTCATTCTTTTTATTACTATTTTGTTTGCTTAGATAAATATTTTACATTGAGATTTATTTTCTATTTTATCCTTCAATATTAAATTGATTGATAATATAGCTTTTCAATTGAACCCGTGTCTATGATTTCATGGGTTATGAATTTGAAAAATTAACTCATTTTTAAAAGATTTTGTAAACCCCAGGATAAATTAAGAATAATATAATAAAAATTATGGTGTAATAAAATAAATAAGAAAAAGAATAGAATAAATGTGGAAAGAAGAGTTAAAAAAAGCTTATGGCCAAATGTGCATATTTTTCTAGAACTAAAAACGGTTAGATGAACTTAATAAATAGTCAAACCATTTCCCAAAATAGTTAGAATGTTTTGACTGTAGTCCCTGTTAAAAACCTGATGGTGCAACCAAAAGAAAAAAAATGATTATTTTCTCTTATTTTTCTTTCTTATCACCTAGAGGGGTTAGATAAGTGATGATTAGGAGTGAAAAGAGAGGATTTTGAGAGAGAAAAACATATTCACCCTAGAAATTTAAAAAGATCAAAGTGAGGGTTTTGGAGAGATTTGAAAGAGAAGAAGAAAGGTGAAAGGAGCCAAGGTTATTCTAGCATTTTTACACATGAATTACTATCTAACTAAGGCAACAAACTCATCTTATTAAACAACTTGATTGATTTTATGATATGTGCAATATTGAGTATGTTGGTGTGACATGAATCTTGAGTTATGGATTTTGGCTAGTTCAATTGTTGCTTTTATGATTGATTTATGTTTGTTAACATTAAAGATGGTTAAGTATCATCCAATTGAAAAAATTGAAAAAAAAAGCTACTTTTTTTTGTGGGATAATTTTGACTTGAGATGCGATAAAGGAAGAGGTGTAGGAAAAATTCGACTAGTCATGATTTGAAAACCATTTTATTACTATGTTTGGGGCAATAGACTTATATATGTAAGCCAAAATGAATTCAATTAAAAATTGATACGTAAACCATGAATTTTATATTAGGGTCTATAATAGAAAGTCAAGGGGAAATGCAAGTGGATGGTGAATTGAACTAATTGAATTAGATTAGCTTATGACGAGTATTAAATCATTAAAAAGTAATGAAGAAAAGCACGGTGTCTCAAAGAGCATATAGGACTAGCCAAGAAAGAATATGTTAGCATGCAATGAAATTGTGTTTGCATAAGAAAAATATGAGGCTAATACATAATGTTGCGTGGGAAATGAATTTTGAATGAGTTTGGTTATGTTATATAAAATAAGTAAAATTTATATATGGTAGTGATCTGAAATGTTGAGGAACATTATTGCATTTAAAGGTAAAAATTATTGTGCAATGCTTGATTTCTCATATAAAGAAAAATTTTGATTAAAACTTTTAAGAATAAATCATGGTACAAAAGAGGTTGTAGTGTCGGCTAAAAAGGAAATAAATTGAAAGTGAATGTGACGACTATGATCATGGTTGTCGCTACACGACGTCGGACAATGACTCCACTTTTTTTTGTTTGTTTAACAAAAAGAATAAGTTTTTTTCTTGATTTAGGAGAATAAAGATTTTATTAGAGTCACCATCTAGTAATTTGAGGGAACTAGAAATCCAAAATTAGACACTGGTCCTAGAGATTTAGGTACTGGGTTAGTTATAATTAAGGGAAGGTAGACATCACCCTTAAAACATCTTTTCAAAGAAAGGTTACCCTTACTTGTGTGTTTTTTATTTGATTCAAATGCTATTATATTTTGAGCTTATTTGCAAATTTTTTTAAGATGGTTAATGTCGGTTCCTAAAAATAAGAGACACGTTAAAAATGATATCAGTCCCTAAAACTAGGAGACTTTATCTAAAATGTCAACGTTTATTCCTAAAAAGAAGAGTTACGTCTGATTTACTAAAAAAATAATAACGGACATAATCCATATTTGGTATTTAAATTTTTGCCTTCGGTCTTTTTCTGTATATAAAAGAGACGTGTTGATAAATAATATTTATTTTATAAAACAAAAATTATTTTGATATCATTGAGAAATGGATATATCCATACTCGAGAATCGGGTTTTGAACCCATGAACAGTGACATGATAAAATGGTGTTGGACCCGCGTCGTTATTTATTTTATTTTATTTTTTATTTTTTTTACATGCAAAACAATTTACAAGTATTTGTATATAAAAATATCAAAAATACCATGAAAAATCATGAAAAATTACTTGAGTGCCATTGTATAGGTAAAAGAATGAAATACCCTCAAATTTCTTGGAAATTTATGAAAATGCCACTAACTACTGTTGGAGGCGGCGAAATTTTCCGGTGAGATTCCGGCCAAAAGATGGTTGATTCTGGTAAATCTGAGGAAGAGGATTCTAATGATGGTGGTGATTAGTACTTAAAAGTGTATTTTTATCATGGTTTTATATCATTATTTTGCACTTGAAGTATCAATAACTCCTTAACTAAAGCATGTTTTATAATAACATA